TAAAATATATATATTAAAATTATATATATTTTAAATACATATATTTTAATTACACTCATCAAATTCAAATTCAAATTTAAATTACAAACACAACCTTAATCGTTTTTCATATTGAAATGTTGATTGGAATCTAAGGGTACAAACAATTTATCAAGTATTTACTGTACAACTTTTATTAATAATAAAAAGATAATAGAAACATTGGAAAGTTCGCATCCCACCTCTTTCGCATCTACTGATTTAGGGGTACGACTACGACGATAGAGATAGCTGGCAAACAGAACTGAAGAAGAGAAGGGAGGGTTTGGGTTTGGGAGATCGTCTCGTCTGTTTCTGTTATTCAAAAAAAAAAAAAAAAAAAAAAAAAAAAAACACGTATATCTTCTCATTCTGATGCTTACTTTCTCTATATATTGAATTCAAGGCCTGAGCTTGATTTGCTTCTTTATTTCCAATTTCTACTTTACTTCTTTCAGCACCCTAGAAGCTTCTAAAAGACCATGCTGGACGATATGCAACTGGAGATGAAGTCTACTTGGTTTGTTTCTTTTGCTCATGTTTTTGCACCCTTATAGTATTTTATGGAGTTCACAGTCAAAGCTACATATACTTTCCCTCAGGAAATTTTGGCAAAATAAAGGTTGGGGTTTTAGTCTTACCTTCAACCAATTTGGTTTGTTATCTTTCTCTCACTGCAGAGTATGATGTGGAGAGCATACACCCACTTGTTTTTTTTTTTGGGGGGGTGGGGGGAGGTGGCACTACGCCTTTCTTCAGTTCTGTTCTCAAAATCATGGGTCTAGATTTTCCAAGAAAATGGTCCAAGCATTGTCAAAATGATAGGTTTTTGACATACTATTCAATAATGTTTAGTATATCAACACATCACTGTCTGAGTTTCATTAGGCGATTTTCTTTTAACTTCAGTTCTAATTGCTCTAGAGGACAGGAGATTTTGTGATAGCATTTAACCTGGTCTCATTAATGTGAGATGTCTCAAACCTAACAGGCTAACTTTTGCAGGCTGATTTGTTTCTAGCACCACAGATTCATGGAGCAATTAAGAGGTTCAATATTGACATGGTAATGCTTGTTGCTTGAACTTCTCTACCAGTTTTACACTTAATTGATGTTAGTTAATTTGAATTTAACTTAGGCCATTATGATGCAAATAATGACTTGTAGTTGCAGATATCTTTGATCTTGTGTGCTGTTTCTTCATCCTTTTTGGACAAACTTGCGCACTTGTAGAATATTTGGCTCCATTATTAGTTTTGTAGTGTTACTATTTACTACTCTACTATTCCCGTCTAGTTTTCCATTGATACTGGTAAGAACGAGGAAGTCTGACTTTAGGGTTTTACCCTTTGTTGCCTTTCATTCTGGACACCTTCAGAGTCTCATTTCTTCTATCATCTCTTTGCAGGTTCAGTTCCCCCTCTTGTCTCGGTTGAATGATGCATACAGTGAGCTACCGCCATTTCAAGATGCGATGCCAGAGAAGCAACCAGATGCTCCTCCACATCATTAGTCAGTTAACGTTGTCTTATTTTCAGCAACCGTATGGGATTCAATGGATCTTTTAAATAGGTGGAGATCCGAAGTAGGGCTGCAAAATTTTGTAATTCTATGCAGAAACTTATGGAAGTGATGGAATAAAGTTGTAAACTATATGAAAATATCTAGTTTTTAAGAGCATATGGAATGTTTATTAATAATAATAAAGTACAACTTTTGTTGTAGTAATTTGAAGGTAAGTATCTATCAAATCTTAATTGAGTAGGCCTAAGTTTTAAATTAAATTTAAGTAATCATTTTTACCTGGTTCAACGTCACAGTACATGTATAAGATTCAGTAGCTACCTTTGTATTGCAGATTGACTTTACAATTAATTAAAAGTTTTCAGTATGTAGAGTGAATAAGATATCAAGTCCAATTTGAAAGCCATATATATGATGTGGATATGCAACCAGACCAGAAGGTGAGGGTCAAGGGAGGGCAATCATTAAACATTAATGGAATGAGTCAATAACACTGAGAATTGATTGGCGCAAGCAAGAAGAGTCCGTGGCTGCAATTGCAAACTGCGTTCTCAAGATTGGAATGGGTCTTTTCTATGCAGCTTCACCCAGTGGCGGCTCTACCGTCATGGAGGCCTTGCTTTATTTGGAAACTTCATCCACTACGTTTTGGTTTCAATAAGAGGTAAGAAAGTAGGTCAAAACGAGGGCACAGGGGAAGGACTTTTCCCTTGCAATTGCAAACAGTAATATTTCTGGTTGTGGGGAATGATTTTGTACAATTCAATCTGGAGCAGCAGTACTTTTAACAGATTATTATTACCTTTACCTACCCACTGACAGGTTCCCTTTTTTTTTTTTCCGTTCGTTTGAAAGGAGAGTAATGGAGTTTGGCATAGGTCTTTTCTTTTCTTTTATTTACTGCCGCGTTTAGGATTCATCGGTTCATGAACTAGTACATTTTATTTCTTCCAACCTGACCAGCCTTCCTATTTTCGAGGTACCATATGTATATTTCTAAGAGCAACTCTGAATTTTATAATACTAATAATTTGTTTTTGTATGTTTTAGTTGAGATGTGTTGATAGGATAGGATAGGATAGGACAGGAGGGAGATTGTTTATTTGGGTTGACTTGTCGATAAACACTTCTCCATTGAAATGAATAGAAGCAATTTACTACGGTTGGTTGGGTCAGCACTAATTTCTGAATGAATGAAATAAATAAATATTATCTTCTTTTTTTCCGTTGCAACTTGCAAGACCAGACTTGCTTTACTCTACCCCACGCGTAGCACATTAAAGAGCTTGAGATGAAGAAGAGAAAAGTGAGAGTGGAGAGAGGAAAAGGGGGGGAGAAAGTGAAATTAATTTATTTTTATTTTTAAGATTAGAAAATTAAAAATTAAAAATTAATTTTTAAATAATTTAATAAAAATTAATAAAAAATTTAAATTATTTCGAATGATTTGATTCACCCATAATTTAATTTATTTAAATTAAAATAATTTTAATTTAAATTATTTAAAATTTTAGATTAATACATATAACTCATAACCCAAAAATTATAATTATAATGAATGGATTGAATCAAAATTTTCGATGGAATCTAATTTTACCATGTCCAACCTTGTCTTCGTCTTCCTTCTTTTCTTTTTATTTTTTTTGGTGTGCGTGTGTTGAAAGTCTCCCTAATATTTATTGTTTTTTCTTTTTTGGTGGGAACCTAATATTTATCGTTTAATATGTAAATAGTTGAAATATATGCAGTACGGACAGATAGAGAAAAGGTCAGACGATGAATCCTAAGTTGCTGTAAACGGCTGAATAATTCAAATGCTCGTTTTTCAACGGTGGCATTACGTATAGAAATTTCCTCCATCTCATTTACACAATAATTAATTAATTAAGTAATTTCTTTTTTCTTTTGAATGTTTCTCTGAAAGGACCCGATCAAAACCTATCGATATTTTTTTAAAAATTCCTCCGGCCGCCTTCTGCCTTTTTCTTTCTTTCAGCAAGAAGTTGTCTATTTATTTTTATTTTTTTAATTTAAATGTACAACAAACACCCAACTTGATGGGCTCCAGCTATTAATCAACACAGTTCATCTTTGGTTGCAACAAACTTATTTTCATTTCTCCTTTTTTTCTTTTTTCTCCTTCAATATAGAATTATAATCTATATTCACTTTGTTTATTGCTATCCCGGTCCTCCGTTTTGTAGTATATCAGAACAAATTTCCTCTCTTTTGTCCGTGTTTTCTGATATATATCAGAGATAGATCATTTAGGCTCTGAATTTGAACAAAATCAATTTCCACCTCTTTTCTTTCTTTCTTTCTTTCTTT